TATGTTGAAGGACTGGATCAAAGAAACAGCCTGTCTAGCCAAATTTCTTGCTTCTCACAGCAGTGCTTCAAAACTCCCTCAGGTCAATTTAGCTAATATTTAAACGGCTGATAAATGACCGTCTGGTTGCCTAAGATGAGCGTTGTCTTCTTTGTATTTTTCTTTTATGGTTTCTCCTCCCATAATGGCCCTCTTCAAAAGGTCGGATTCAATTTCCACTTTCACAAGCATTGTAAATCACAAGGGATTCCAAGAAAGTGAGTGTGCAGTGTGAAATAAATATGAATCATAAATTGATATACTTGATTTATGAGACTGATGCTTCCATTTCAGCAAAACTTTTGTCAGCTGTTTTAAGAATCAATAGAAAAGACAGTGTAGTTACATCATTGGGTTGCCAGCTGATTTCTTTCCAAAAGTGAGAGACCTGATAATTTGATATACTAAGTTGATTCAATCATGTATGGTGAGTATTCAATTATAAGTATTAAAATGCAGCTCTGGTTAAGAGTTTTTCTGGCTGGATTTTTGAATATTTCAGATGAATCCGTCCAGCTATTTTATATAAGAAATGTAATGGAACATTAGGGTTACTTACACAACAGTGCATCTTAAATTCTTTAAAATGGACTTAGCTCTTGGCTCTTCCCAGTAAGTTTAGGCAAAAGCACACTGCTGCACCCTCTTTTTCCTTGTGTGCACTTCCTCATAGATTTATAATTGTTGGTACCTTGACTATCAATCAATCAATCAATTAATCAAATCATTTATTTCAGGCATAGAACAGCACAGGAAATAAAAGTCACAGTTTTATAAAAACTTGTTACGCTTACTTAGTACATTAGAAATACAAATATAAATATCGAAGCACAATAGGGGGTGAGGGAGCAGAAGGAGAAATAGGGTGAAAACATACAATGACTACATTGTGATGTTGCTTGGCTCCCATGTCCAGATTTTCATCTGTGAAATGTGCAGGGTACACACACATTTTAGGGAGTTGAAATGAGTGACTCTTGAGGTCTCATCCAAGTCTAGAATTCCCTTTGGAGAGATAAAGCAGGAATTGAATTATTGTTTCCATTCGATGTTTGATGTTTTGTCTTATGTCTGTTAAAACAGGCTGTTTTTTATTTTTTTATTTTAGTTAAGTTATAATTTGTATTTATATGTTGGGTTGTTTAAATGTTGTTAGTATGGTTGTATTGTTGTTGTATTCGGGCATTGAATGTTTTCCTTTTATGTTTGGAATCTGCCCTGAGTCCCTTCTGGGAGATAGAGTGGAATATAAATAAAGATGATGATTATTATTTTTATTATTATAAATATAATAATAAAAATAAGATAAGTTTAGTAGTAGCACATCTCCAGTGATGTAGGGATAAGCATTAGCCAATTTCATCTGCTGTTGTTTATACCCAGCATGTATGCTTCTCTACAGGGCTGGAGCATTAAAAAGTCAATTTAAACAGGTATAAACAGGGATGTAACAGTTGGTAAGCTGTCATATCCCCAGTCTACCCTTCTGAAATGGACCCTATTTGTTAATAGAATTGAGTTATATGCAAGAAAATATCTTCTGCTGTGGGAGCTAACCAGGGATTTTACTCCATCGCTGTCGTCGTCATCATCATCATCAGAAATTTGTTACCTGTGTTTCTTCACAGCTTAAGGTGGCGCACAACACAGTTAAAATAAATTACCATAAAATACATAAATTAAACCAAACCATCACAAAATACATATATTAAAATACATAGTGCAAAGATTAAAATATAATACAATTACATATATTAAAATATAAATAGAATGTAAATTTAATATTCACTATTTAAAATTGACTGGATAGGAAAAGATAGGTCTTGAGTTCTGTTATGAATGTTGACAGAAAATTTAGCTGTCAAATCTCTTTTGACAGGTCATTCCACAGTCTAGGGGCCACTGATGAAAAGGTTCTCTTGGTGACGGTTGCCAGTCAGGTTCTGGCGAGTTGGAGTAAGCATCTCCCAGAGGACCTTAGTGTGCAGGGTGGATTATATGGGAAAAGATGATCCTATAGGTAACCTGGACACAAACCATATAGGGCTTTAAAGGTCAAATTAAGAGTAAATCCTCTTGTCTGTCCCAACTCACTTTTTGGAAACACTGCTTTATATGAAGGAATCAGATTCTGACCTCGCATCCATCTTCTTTCTTTCTTTCTTTCATGAAATATCTCTAGAGCATTTGTTTGTTTATTTATTTATGTATGGCATTTCTATCCTGCCTTTCTCTACCCCGAGGGGACTCAAGGTGGCTTACATGTAGGCAACCATATGAAGCCATTGGATACGTACAATTACAGACATTAAAATAGAGTTAAAATGCATTAAAACAGTTTAAAAACATATAAAACAATCCATTAGCAGTTAATCACGTGATCCTCAAACGTAATCCGGCCGTTCCAGTTAGTCAGTGCACATCAATTCCATATCTGTCTATTTCTCAAGTTCTTCAAAAGCTTGGTCACCAAGCCATGTTTTTACTTTCTTACAGAAGGTCAGGAGGGAGGGGGCTGTTCTGATGTCCCTGGGGAGGGAATTCCACAACCTGGAGGCCACCACTGACAAGGACCTGTCCCTCGTACCCACCAATCACACCTGCAAGGAAGACGGAACTGAGAGCAGGGCCTCCCCAGATGATCTTAGACGCTGAGAATGCTATTTGGGGGTTAGGCCAAGGATTGAATGCTAACCAACATGGTTTTTTTTAAAAAAAACCTTCTGCTATGTGGCAGTCAGATTAAAAAAATACAGGCACAGTTTCCCAGGATTCAAAGAATCTTAATTAGCAGTGAATTGGTGTTTTGGAAGTGTACCAAAAATAGGGCCATTGTAAATGTAGATAGGACTTGAATATCCTGGCTTTCAGACAACTGAATTTGTTGTGGCCTCTGACAAAAAGCGAACAACAAATATAATTGAGGTCCATGTTAAAACAGGTGCCTGCTTATCAGTACGCACTGGAATGGCTTCATTTCCATATAGTTCTCAAAGAACTGCTCCTTAACAGGAGAGGAGGGTTTTTTCTTTTGCATTTCAAGGCATTTCTTGATCACCTGAGCTGATGACAATAGTCCATGGGGTTTGCCAATTGTTCTGAAGAGCTGCTTTGCCCACCGTTTCAGAGAATTGCCTTGTATCGTGTTGTGTTCCTTTTGAAACCGCTGCGTTTGAGACTTTAGAGACGGTTCTTATCCAGTATTTCAGGCTGCTTAGTTAAGATTAGCCTTTGAAGTTAATTGTAAAGCCCTGTGATTACTCTGGAGAAATACATGAGTTCTTTTATTAAAGTGGTGGTGGTGGTGGGGAGGGATCTTTAAAATTGTCACAAACATAAATGGCTTTTTATTACACAGAGTAAATTGAGCAGATTCTTTCCTTCTTTTCTTTCTTTTCTTTTCTTTCTTTCTTTTCTTTCTTTTTTTCTTTCTTCTTCCTATTCATATATTAATGGGCTGTCTTTGCAGACAATTACGGCCAATTTAACCGCAGATGTTATACCTCTAATTCTCATATTGGTTTTGCCTGAAGCCATGTTTAATGTATGCGTCAGAACTATCTTGTGGTAAAAGTTCTCAAACATAAATCAGCAGCAGAAGCCAGTTTATTTCTTTAACACAAAGTCATAGTAAACAGTAAAAAGTATCACACGTGGTAAAACATGGCAAAAATTCCTTAACAAATTTAAACACATTACAGGCAGCCCCTGAGTTACAAACATCCGACTTACAAATGACTGATAATTAAAAATAGGGATAAGACAATAGGAAGGGAAATTCACTCCTGAAAGAGCTATCATGAGGAAAAGGTGTCTCCATGGAAGCTTTATCACCAATCCTTGTTTCTGAACAGGGGTGCAGACAGTAAAACAAAGACCACGGGGGTGTTAACCCTTCCTGTGCAATTCAAAGCTAACACTCTATCTATCTATCTATCTATCTATCTATCTATCTATCTATCTCTCAGTGTGTGTGTGTGTGTGTGTGTGTGTAGAGAGAGAGCTGGAGTTACACTTAGAAAATGTACCTGTTTTGACGTACATACAGATTCAACTTAAGAATAAACCTACAGAACCTGTCTTGTTCTTAACTTGGGGACTGCCTGTATATCGATACACAGTATATATACATAAATGTCAAATCATATTTTAGGGGGGTAGTCCTCATCCTTAAAATGGTAGCCAGTTTTATGGACAAACGTTGAACAAAGGTACAAAACAGTTTATTAGCTGCAAGTGGCACAGCAAGACAGACAGACAGACAGACAGATAGATTGGTTGAGGCTGTGGAGCACATTTTCTGGTTTCCATTTTTCCTTCCAGAATACTGAGATTTTGACTGAACATTCGATTGTCACCAGCTTCAGTACTTTTATCTTCAGCAATGTGATGGTGGTGCTAAAGCAGTTTTAATAAAGAAAAAGATAACTGTGAGGCTATTGTTCAGTTACTGATATTCTCATTTCCTTCCAATAGTACACTGTAAACAAACTTAGGGGTTAGTACTGCATTCAGCAGTTTTGTCTAAAGTGATACTGTGAGGCATCAGGCTTGAACATTTCTCCACAATTTTGCATAAGTTGCAAAAAGGTATATCAAGTTGTAATTCTTACCTAAGAATGAAGGCTAGGAATACTACAGAATATATTCATGTATAAATTGACCTCATGTATATGACAATGGCAGGATTATGTGTATTCTAACCAAGATTGTGACCCATAGATAAGATGAGAGTCATTCTGCAGGGAGAGGAAAGTACTAATGCTGCCTCAGGGAACTAGATGCCCTGCCACTATTTTCCCACCCAGGCATTCAAAAAGCCAGGAGTGGCACCACGGTAGAGAGAGTAAAGGGCAGGCTGCCACATTAATAAGAGTGGTAGACTACATTCCACATTAATTTGGTGTAAATATCTAAAATGGAAAGAGATTTCACCTCATACTTTCTTTCTTCTCATCTAGGTGGTACATGCCAGAGCCCTGCCCTTCCAGCCCTGGTACGTCCTCCGGCTCCACCCTTGCAGCCTTCGCTGGATCTCAAACCCTTTCTTCCGTTCCCTCTGGACACTGCGGCAGCTGTCAATCTCTTCCCCAACTTCAATGCAGTAAGTACTATATTGCAGGGTTAATATACTTGGTCTGTACTATCTACTTTATTCCTCTTTTATCAAAACAAATAAACAGTGACATGGATGGGTAATAGATATCAGAAGAAACAAAAGTATCTGTCTTGGCTCTAAGAAAAAAAATCCCAAACTCATAATTAGGTAAAATATTATTTAAAACATTGAAGAGAAAAAAGCCTATGAGAAATATGTGATCTTTAAGTAATTTTATATAAATGTTAGTTTTGATATATAATGCAGAGGAAGGGGGCATGTACACTACAAATTAATTGCACTTAGACACCACTTTAACTGCCATGGTGCTATCCACTAGATTCTTGGGTTTTATCAGGTGCTTAGAATTCCGTGCCAGAAGGTTCAGGTATTGTAGTTTAGGGGGAAGCAGTAGAAAATTCTAATGACCTCACCAAACTACAAATTCAGTTGGATTCCAAGGAGTGAAGTAATCATACATAAAACTGTATCAAACAGCTATAATCATGCAGTGTGGATGCATCCAGAGTCTGCAGATTTGCAAGTGTGCTCCTCAGGGTGCTTCCAGAAATCACCAAATCTCAGGTTTTACAGGTAGGACAAAAATACCCAAGGGACCTGAGGGCAGGTCTGAACACAGACACGTTGGTCCTGGGATTTGTGCCTGTGACATCCAGACTTGTTGCTTTTTCTGAGATTTAGAAGCCTGCAAAATGGCCATTGCAAAACATCTGCCGGAAATTCTGGCGGCTTAAAAAAAATGTATATGCAGTGATACAAATATGCACGTTGTTCATACGTGTTTTGTTCCCAGGTTATAAATGTCAGCTCATTGTTGGTTTTATCATAAAAAACCTGGTGAAAGTTGATTAAAGGGGAAAAAATTGTCATGGCAGGAGGGGCATCACCATCCACCCATTTATCAAAGTTTGTGATACACGAACAAAGTTTTTGCTGTGTAATCAACTTTCCCCTTGTTATTCAATAGACACAATGTGGAACTGACATTTATAACCCAGGAACATCACCTTGTTTTTCCAGGCACAAATATACCACCAAAGCTGTCTTGACAGGTAGCCATGCAGCCTCTGAATAGTGATAATAATGACAGACTCTTGTTTCTGGTTTGAAAGTGTGAGTTGCTGTTTAATGGTGTAGACTTATTTTGAAAGTACTTGTTGCACTCCACAGACTTTGTGTGTCACAAACTTTGATAAATGGGTAGATGCCGATGTCTCTCTTGCCACAACAAAGTTTTTGCCATGTAATCTACTTTCCCCATGTTTTTACAATAGAAGCAATGAGGAGCCGACATTTATAACCCAGGAACAAACCAACATAAAAAATCCTGTATTTTCTGAGTGTAGGGACATACAGAGATTTGAAGATCTGAATCTTCTGGCCAGAACTGGGATATTACCGCACTTTTTTATCTTGTGGTTTTTCGGCTTTGTAGCGATTCCTCCCACATTTTCAGCTGATGTTGTCTAGCCACCCTCCATTTTGAACCAGGAGCTTCTGGGGTAAAAGTACTGTGTGGATGGAGCATCAGATGACAAATTAATATTAGGTTTCAAGCAGACCAGAACCATAAGCTTCCTGGGCCATAAAAGTTATTCTTTATTCATTCTATGCATTCAGAACTACTTTTATGCTGTACAAAGCACACCAGCTTTGTTATCAATAAAAAATTAGTAAGCAGGCAAGCCCATTTTACACAAAATTGATTTCCATACAGTAGAAGCAGTGTAGTATAGTGACTTGACTCTGGAGATCTGGGATCTGACTCTCTGCTTGGATATGAAAGCCCACTTAGGCAAGTCTCTCAGCTGAAGAGGAAGGCAAAGGCAGATCCTTTCCAAACAAATCTTACTCCCAAACTCCTGTGATAGATTTGCCTTAGGGTTGCCATAAGTTGGAAATGAAACAATGGCAAGAAAGTTGGCTGGTAAGGTTGGACATACATTTAGGTTAGGTTGAGAAAGCCAGTAGAACTTAATCTAGAATGTTTGGTTTCTCTGCTGGGAGAAGCAAGATATAAATTAAATAAATTGTTTTGCTAAGCATTGCACTTACATTTGACACAGAATAGCTAGAATTCAACTGTCATGGGCAAATCTGTAGAAAATTAGAAAGCAGACAAACCCATTCAACAGAAAAGTGATTTATTTCTCATTTATATATGTCAGGTTAGTAATTGAAATGATCACGACTAATGAAGGAACACGTCCACTCCATCTTTTTCAAGTAGTTAAATATGAATTAATATTTAGCAATGTTTGTTCATGGGTTCTTATTAATTGCTCTAAGTAAGTATATAAATTATTCGTACTGACAAATAATTGATGTAGGCTATTTAATCTCAGTGATTGCCTGCAAACTGATTACTTCAAAAACTCACTGTAAAAGAACAAAATAGGATAGGTCATCCAGACCGTCTCCCCAACAACAACTCTTTTGTGTTGATGTTTGCTTTTTAAAAACATTATAGAGCTAACTAAAACCCAGTGTCGAGTTTATAACTAAGTGTATAATGAATTTAAAAATACAGACAGGAACATAACCATATGGTGTCAACAAAACAGCATAAAACAATACCAGTTGTGAACCTAAAAGTACTACAGTCAACCCTCCACATTTGCTGATGTTAGGGGCACAAGACACATGTGAAAGTGAAAAAATGTGAATAAAGAAATTGCTGGAGGTGTTTAACTTGAGAGAACACATCTCCAGGAATATTTGGGCCGGCATGGCTCTATATAGTCAATGTATGCTGGAAACTGATTGCAGAATCACATTGGAGGACCCAGATAGTCGTAGAGGCGTTGTTTCTAGAAATCTTGAGGTCTTTCAACATGACTGGAGAAAGTTGAGCATAAAGTTACACTGGAGGACCTAGAAATTCCTAAAGAGAACCTCTTAAATTGAATTATTGAACAATCAAATCTGCAAAAGTCAAAAACTCAATATGGAACGACAACAGTATAGTTTGTTTTGTAATGGGGAGGCCATTGTACATAAAGAGCACACAAAGGATAATGAACCATGTTGTCTAGTAGGCCTGGGTAACAACGGAAAAATTTGT